TCACAAAACATGGGCAATCAATATAGTTAAGGACATTCAGGTTGTCTGTGTTCATAAATAACAAGTAAATGCAGATATTGAATCCTGGTTTACCATTTTAGGGGGCTGCAGCTACACTGTTTCTTATTTTGAATCCCGCAATTATTCCTTGCTTTACAGTATATTCATGAATAAAAATGTGTTGATAATGTATTTTGTGGTTAGGCTGCACATTTGAGACTCATTTAATAAGTAGGGGAGGTAGGCATTCCTTTGTCAGCAGTGCTACTGTTACTGCTAACCAGATAAATTTATGGGTATAGTATTTGTTGGTTAATTCATTAGGAAACACCTTTTAAACATTTCTGTTAGGGCTCCTCATGTTCATTAATTACTCCTTTTGTAGATAGCACATTTGTGTTTTCTATTTTCACATAGTTAATGCTCAATTATAAGCACACATTTCCTGCTAGTCAGCAACTTCAGCTTCCCAAGCAGCAATTTGTTTTATTTTTTAAGACAAAACTAACAATTTAATTAACAGTGATTAAAGTAGGTGCTTATATTTTAATTTCTTTTTTAAAAAAGCAATATTTATTTTAAAATAATCTTATCTTGCAGCAATTATGTCATCTTACTTTAGGTTTTTAGGGCTTCTTGAACATAGAAATTATGTAAAATTGAGAAATCAACCTCTATACTTGACATATGTATATTTAATCTATCACTCAATTTATATAGCTGCCTAATCACATGCAATTCAGAGCAGCACGCAAGATAAAAACTAATATGACAATAGCTTCAAAAAAATAAAAACAAACAAAAATCCTAAAACATTACTGCATATAAGACAACCAAAATAAACAGAATGAGCACAATACCCCATCTCATTCCTGGGGGGAAAGCCAGGTATTAAGAGCTTCTTATAGCACTGACAACTTTTAAAAATCAGCATTTATTCAAGAAGTAGTAACAGTAGGATAATTAGCATAAAATTAATTGTCAGTTCACTTTTTGATACAGATAGAGGTAAACATGGATACAGATATGGATATCATTATAGATATAAAGGCTAATTACAAGATGCTAGCACAGATTCCCAAGACTTACTGTCAATATATAATAGAATAGAATAGCATGTATACACATACAAAATCTTTTGATGTTATTAAATGGTGAAGAGAAGCAGTTGTACAAACTTATTTTATTAAAAATATTATGGTTTCAATTTAATACATACTTGGAAGTGAATTTTTTTTTGAAATAAACTGCAAATTAATCAAATTCAGCAGAATTATATCATCAAATGCAAGCTTGCAGGCCAAATATTTATGCTTTCAAATACTTCAGACAAATTACTTAGCTTGAAGGGTACGTTCTTAAATGACATCCAGTCAATTGACATGAAAAGCCTCTATTAGTATTGGAAATGACTGGGAATTCTAAGATTGCTAAATGCAGTGGGAAGTAAAGAAAAACTCAAGAAGGCAATAGCCAATTATTTCCATAAAACTTCTAGAAAATCCAGGTGCAATCAGCAGAAGTCAAGTTCAGTTCAAAGGCCTATTTGTTTGTTTGTTTTATTTAACAGAATAGACCCTAATTGCCATAATGGCTTACTAGTTATCAAAGGAGAGGCAGGAACCTAGCTATCTCATATAGGAAAATTTATATTTGCAAGCTGAGGTAGGTGAAACCTATGTAATTGCTATGTAGTGGGTCCTTTCTCTTTCATAACTTTTTTCTGCCTTGTAATTTATTTATGAATTTGGTGGAGGAGGAAAAATGAAATGAGATCAGTATAACAAAGATCAACAATCATTGTCTATCTTAATTTCAGTGATAAAATGTTCCCAGTGTATGGCTTTGGAGCCAGGATACCTCCCGACTATAAAGTAGGTGAACAGGTGAAGCTTCCTCATTTTCTTGATGTCTCTAGCATAATGTGTAAGTTACTGGAGAGGGAAGCAATGATGTGAATGGCAGGAGGGAATAAAGAGGCAAGGCAGAAGCAATTTTAGATTCATCTGCATCATTTACAGCTTGGGGGCTCTCCACTCAAATAGCTTCGTGTTATGCATAATTCTGAATTTCAAACCAATGAAGATAACTGTAAGGACTTTAAAACTTTCCACATGAGAAAGTTTCTCATACCACTCAATTTCTGCTCCTGTTGTGACCAGTTTTATTTTTAGCAGTTGATATTTTGGATGGTTATCAGAGCTTTGAGGGCTGGAATTAAAATAACTTTTGAGAAGAATTTTGTTTTGTTAAGATCTCTGAACAAATATGACCATATTTTGTAACTACGGAATGAGCAGGGATGAAAAGGAAGATGGAGGCCATATTAAGCAAAATTAACAGGACCCCATACAGACAATCTTTGGGGCAAGTGGATATAAATGGCTGAAAAATATATATAACCGTGAATAACTGAATATGTTTGGGAGGAGGATAACATGTATTGTTCCAACCACCCATTCAGAACTCTCGAAGTTCTGTATCATATCCCACATGCTTCAAATAAATTAGTGAATACCGATTATTATTATTTTATTTTATTATATCAGCCCAGAAGTCAGATTACAGAAAGATGTTGCTTTGCAATATGTCATCTTCCATTAACTTTTAATTGAAAAGAATCTTGTGAATGAAATAAAGACAGATTAGTGATCTCATAAACAGTTAGCCCTACAAAATAGGCCAGATGAGAGAAATGACTCCATAGGAAGACTACAACTGTATTTTATTGAGATAAGCTATAGTAATAGAACTTTCTATATCTTCCTTCTCTTTTATTCCTCAGGCAATATAGGAAAATCAATCTTTTTCTAATACCTTTTCATCGCTGGGATTAACGTGCTTTTCTACCTGTTGTCTTAAAGGCTTCATGACTCCCTTCATCAACACCAGAGAACATGTCTTAGCTATATGATAATATAAACTAATCCATCACATTATATACCTCTGTATTAAAGTATTTAAATTACCTGTACCAGTGGTTCTCAACCTTTTCTTTACCACAGACCACTTTTAATATATGTTATGTTTACGGACCATGGTCACACTCCCCAAGACTTAAGATTTAAATTCTTTGAGTTTTTGTGGAACCCCTGTGATGACATTGTGGCCCTCAAGGGTCCTTGCACTACTAACCTATATAACATTAGATAAGAAAGGTGCATTTCTTTAATGACTGTTTAGAAGACCATTCTACTTTCTGGGGTATAAATATTTATTGGCCTGTTAATGTAGCTTATGGTTTGACCTAGCCTAAATTAAAACAACAGGAAAGAAATTATTTATTCATTCATTATTACATAACCACCAAAGATTTCCTGTGATTAGTATAATAAAAAACAAACATATCATATGTAAAAAAAGTTTAATATCACTTAAAACAGCAAGGAATAAAAATGGCCTATCTAATTATGCTCTTCAGAAAAATTCTGTTTCAAACAATTTTCCAAATTATATAACAGCTTGCTTTCAGAAAGACACTATTACATGAACAGCATCATTGAACAGTACAATTCTAGACCATGGTTCTCCTTCACTTCACTAAATCAAGAGCAACTTCTCCTACATTGAAATTAATGGATGGGTCAATTCAATCTAAAGAGATTAATTTTGGAGATTATTGTTTGCAGTTACTGAAAATTTGGCTGTAAGGATGGTTTTATAAACATTAATTCAAGTTTGTAGCAAAATAGTTTCTTTGGTATTATAAACATTCTTCAAGTAGTTTCCCCAATAAAATGCTTGTGCATTATTTTCATGGGTATATGTAGTTTTTTTGCAATATGTACATAAATACTTTTCTATAATTTACAGACTTTAATATTACTATTATTAGAAACTGTAGTGCAGAATTTGAAGAACTGCAAATTTGAATGTAATTAAATTTTGAATCATATAATGGTTGGTAAATACAAAATTAGGTAAGTTCATATTTTGATATGAATTCACTGAACGTTTTCCACTCTTGTTTCTTCTACTTTAGAAAATATTCTTGACTTGTGTAAATGCTCTTCCTTAATGCACCACACAAAATCTGCAACTTTGAAGCCACTCAATAAATAATTATTTGGAAAGCATTTGGTATTGATCTCTAAAAGAAAATTAATTTGAATTCTCCACTTGCCAATGAGAAACAAGAATTATTTTTAGAGCAAAAATGAATCTAATTCTTGGGTGGGGGGGGGTGGGGTTGGCTTTATTCGCAGGTATCTCATGATTTTGCAATCAACTTTAATGAAGATAATCCAGAATGTGCAGGTAACCAGCTTTTTTTCTCAGCAAGCAAATTAATGCAGCTCTGCTGTTTACTGTATTTTTCATCAATTGTTAAGCCCAAACTGTTTATTTCAGTGTACGTATCTGTACAGTACTGATTTCATATTCAGTGTCCTTTGTACGCTTGCTTCTTAGAGCTCATACTCAGTGAAAGGGTGATATGAGAAGTGTTAAATGTAATGCACTTCACACAGAATTTCCCAGGATCAATGTCCAGCACTTCAGGTATAGCTGGGAATGATATCTCCCTGCAGAACTGTAGGTGATTGGACCTTCAATAATTGAACTCAGTATTAAGACAAATTCCTTTATAGGTGTTGTTTTCATATTCTTAAATGTGAACCATTCAAAGAAGCCAGAAAAAATTACATAGAACTATTAAATGAGAATAGAAATTCAATAATTTGTAAATTAATAGTTGACCTTAGAATAAGTTTGTTGCTAAACTCTTGTTTTAATTTGTTGTTGACCTTCAGTTTAATTATTTAGTTTATGGAAAATTGTTTATAATTGATTGCTTTACTAGATTGTGTTTCTAAAAGAAGATGATTTTTATATATAGCTCTCTTTGAGAAGAATGATGGTGTCAATAGCAGCAGCAATAGCAATGATCCATGACAAGTCTTTCTTATTCAAGATCTAGTTCTTATTCCAAGATTTTGTTTTCAAATTTCTTGATAAAATGCAGGTCTTTAGCAAGCCATATAATGGCTTAGTTCAAAAGTACTAAGGACAGTCAGAGAAAACAAAATGTATCAGGTAATTTCCATTTAATAATTAATCTCTATAAACTTCAAAAATTATAAGATTTTTCTGTTGCTCACATTATTAGCAAAGGCTTCTATGGCATGTAAAATAATCATATTTGCAAAAGCTTCTAATATTTGTAATGGTTAATATCTATAAAATGTACAGTTGAATGCTGACAGCAAGGAAAAGAGCTAGTTCATGAATTATATATTACATGTCATATAAATGGGGATCAGTGGGGAGAGTCGCTTTCTTTCAACTATTTCAGAATCATGGCTGGGAAGATTAAATAGGCTGTCTAACTGATCACTTTAATGAATAAGATTACATTAATTGTTTAAAACAACTTCACTAGGAGGAAAACTTGGAGTCATGTCCTCCTTCCCAAGGAATTTGCTCAGTCCTTGCCTTCATCCCAATTTTTTATTCCATCTTGTCATTTTATACAAGGGATTCAAGGGGTTGTGGAAGCATATCAGAATTGCCTCCCAAAACTTCAGCTTTATGGACCAACCAACATTGCTCCCATCATCCAAAAGGTGGCTAAATCAGCATCAGAAGAAACAAACACCAAGGAGGCATCGGTAAGGATCATGGAAGACAACAAACTACTTTATGAAACCATTCCTTCTGAGAGCAGAAAATATTAGTTTAGATCCACATTAACATACTTTAAGCCATTTTTGATGCTTCAGCATTTGGACAGTACAAACATAAAAGCAGATAATTTCCCTCACTCTTTCAATTGGACCCATTCAATGTTTTTTATTCGTGATGGCTTTCATTGTGGAAATGGTCATAAGAGTATCCATTTCCAAAAATGTATAAAAAACCTAAGTTAAGTTTTTAAGAGCCATGGTGGCACAATGGTTAGAATGCAGTGTTGCAGGCTAATTCTGCTGATTGCAGAGTTTGGCAGTTAGAATCTCACCAGGCTCAAAATTGACTCAGCCTTCCATCCTTCCAAGGTTGGTAAAATGACCCAGATTTGGGGGCAATGTACACCACTTACAGCTGTAAAGCACTGTGAAATGGTATATAAATCTAATTGCTCTTGCTATTATAAGGTATTGTTAATTAGATTTGATACTAATTATAAAATATCTGCTTACCCCTTCATGAATACAAATTATAGTTAAGTTAGCTATGTTTAACTACAATTGACTGCATAGTTGTTGTGCATCATGTTAGCCCCTAATTATGTCCTAGCTTTCTATTATAAAAGAGGTACTCATGATATTATTTTGTGTGTAATTTAAAAACAGACTGTCTTATTATACTATATTATATTGTTTCTAATTTATACACACAGTAGTTGGTGCCAGTCCAGCTACAATTCTTGTGCAGTAATTCCATATATTTTCATTGTAAGTTAAGTTATGAAAAAAATTGTGCCATTTCTTTTAAGGTAATAATTAAAGATAATTATTGTCACTTTTTATATGGCTCATAATTTCTTTTACTTTTATAATATAAAGATATATATAAGTTGTTTTTTGTCAGCAAGAGAATCAGGCAGCCAGCAATTCATACATAAGTTGAGAAAGTAGTTCCTTAGTACTATCAAATTCTTATAATTGCCATCCAAATTAAGTATGGTGCCATTAAATTAATTACTTTCAGAAATCTTTGGATTTTTTTTCTTTGGATACATTCTATTTTTTATCAGACACTTTCCTGATACTTACTCAGCAAAATACCTATGATTGAATTATGGTAGGTTCACACAACATGCATACTATATACCATGATTTAGCAAATAGCTGCTGATTCAAACAACATGAACCAAAGCCAGCTAAATCACAAAGGAGTTTACCATATTATATGAGCCCTGTCTATGTGAATGATTATATGACTCTTCCCAAGGAAGCATATTATCTTACTGTTGCCTTCATACCTCCTTTATTATATTTTGTTTGATCTGATTATATTTATTTAACTTTCCATCTCCAGTCATCATCAGTGAAAAATGTAATAAAACTAGTTACAGTATGCAATTGCCAGGAAATCTCAGCAGCACTGTTTTATCAACAATTGTCAGAAATATGTTCAAATGCTGATGTTCCCTTTCTACCCTCTAGCAATATTTTATTTTGTTGATTCTGACGGATGGGGTCATCACAGACATGGCTGACACGCGTGAAGCCATTGTACATGCCTCTCACCTCCCCATGTCGGTCATCATTGTTGGAGTCGGAAATGCTGATTTCAGTGACATGCAGATGCTTGATGGGGACGATGGCATCCTGCGGTCTCCCAAGGGAGAACCAGTTCTACGAGACATTGTTCAATTTGTGCCATTCAGAAACTTCAAACATGTAAGATTTGTTTCAACCATATTTTTTTGATAAGGCATTATTTCTTAGTTCAGGGATTCCACCCATAAATATTATATCTATCACAATAATATTCACACATAATTCAGATAGAAATTCAAGGGTGATTTTAGTAAAATTTATGGTAAATACTTGTCACTTTGAATATATATCCTAGCCCACCAGAAAACAACTGACCAATAAATCAGTTAAATGTAGATTATGTGTATTTACATAATAATAGTTGTTTGATAAAGTAAATTTATAATTTTCTCAAAAAGTCAATATTAGCATATAGAAACATAAAACAGTGAAAATATTATAGAATGATGATTAATATGAGGAAGAGGGAAATGTAACGCTCAAAAGTTTTGGTTTGGGTATTACAGAATTACAACCTGGCACTGGAGAACACTACTATTGTCACAACAAGACGAAACATATGCTAGTCAAAATAACAATATAACATGAACACAAAACAAAAATCATCATTCAGACTTTTAAAGATGCAATCTATTTTGATATTATTAAACCTACTACAAAAAGAATACTATCTTGATATCAGTTCAGGAACCAATTCAGTGGTGGGATTCAAATTTTTTTACTACCAGTTCTGTGGGCGTGGCTTGGTGGGCGTGGCTTGGTGGGCATGGCAGGGGAAGGATACTGTAAAATCTCCATTCCCTCCACACTCCAGGGGAAGGTTACTGCAAAATCCCCATTTCCTCCCCACCCCACTAACCTGCTTTCCACTCCGTTCTCATGTGCAGGGCAACCAAAGAAGACCCAGCCGATCAGCTGGGACTCGGGAGGCAGAGAATAGAGGGGGATGGGGCCAGTCAGAGGTGGGATTTGCCAGTTGTCCGAACTACTCAAAATTTCTGCTACCGGTTCTCCAGAACTGGTCAGAACCTGCCGAATACCACCTTTGAACCAATTCTTCTCCTCTAAAAGAAGATTAAACAGAAAAAAGTACAAAATATCCTGCACACTGACCAGCTTCTTGATCTTATCAATTTACTTGTTATTCATAAAAATTAATGCAAATTGCCTATCTTATAATCTTGCCCCAATGGGATTAGCCCACCCTACTTGGTCCAATGGAAGGGTCTTACTGCAGTGTATGTCTATTAAGGAATTTCAGCTGGTTGGAAAATAGAAGAGGCTTTTTCACTGTGGCCCCCACCCTGTAGAAAATTCTATTGTCAGCAGTCAGATCTGCTTCCACTCTCATGGCTTTCTGGAGGCGCATTAAACATGGTTTTGTTGGTTGGCCTGGGTCCCAATGGGGGCTACTTGCTGGAAATGTTTAACAGGATAAGAAGACCACAATCTCAAGTCATTTATATCTTCGGTCTTAGCTTTTATGTAGCTCTTTTTAATTTAATTTAATTTTTATATTTTTATTGTGAGTTGTCTTAGATATGAAATGTATGGCATATTGATTTAATGAATAAATCAATCTGTACATTCATGTAACTATACAGAATCATCTCTCTCTCTCCCTTCCCCCCACCCCCCCTCTCTGTATCTGCATGTCTGTATAAGCATACATTTACAAATTCTGAGATATATTTACCTTGGAAAAACTAGAAATCTGGAGTCATTTAGAAAAAGGCTTGCTTTGTAATACATTCCGTTAAGTTCACTGGCTCTTCTTCCTAAACAATTTTTAAGAAAATATTTTTATTCCACCTTTATTATTTTTATAAATAATTCAGGATAGCAAATATATCTAATATTCTTTCCTATTTTCCCCACAAGAACAATCTTGTGAGGTGAGTTGAGCTGAGAGAGAGCAACTGACTCAAAGTCACCCAGATGACTTCCATACCTAAGGCAAAACCAGAACTCATAATCTCCTGGTTTCTAGCATGGGACATTAATCACTAGTCAGAACAAATATACTTAAGTCTTCAAGCCATCAGTCAACATGTATTGACCACCAGGAGCAATTTGTGATTAGTTTCATTCTGTATTTAGATTTTTCAACTTAGATAACCAGCTTTTTCTATAAAATTCAGGTCCTCTTTCAGGAATTGGACCCCAGCACTTTAGATGACTATTGTATATATATTGCATTAACTGTAGGAACTATTTGGGTCCTGGTACTCATTAGTGTTACAGGAAGATTAACTCAGAATCTAACTGAAGAATAGTATTTACAGTCAACATTTCCTTAAGTTCTCAAAGAAGAGAAATACAGATGTTACTTTATACCATGTCATCATGTGTGATATTTTAGATATAGGAGTGGGTGAGTACACTATATAAAAAATAGAGAAAGTTCTTTCCCCTCCAAGTGGGGAAGACATAGATGTCATGTAAAACCTTTTAACTGGGGACATGACATAATGTAATATCAGTATTTATCTAAGAGCTTAAAGAATGGTGGACTGGACATACCATTAATAATTATTTTCTTTTTGTAATCTGCTATATATAATGGGAATATCTGCTATAGAGACTCTTCCTGACTGAGGATCCTGGTTTTTGTTTTTTTTAATTCCTTGTTTGGATGGTGGCACTTCATGAACAGATCCCCAACTTCAACAAATTGTGAGAATGGACAATGGGTGGTAATAGGAGATGAAACTATTGTGTTTCCCCCTTTCTTCTCTGTTTCAATCACTTCATTATTTTCACCCAAATTTGCATTTACTCACTTGCAATGACATCTTCCTCTATTAATATTTCTCAAGGTATTTCAATCTAATTATTTGGAGGAAGAGGGCAGGTTTGTTTTCTTTCTGGTAAATGCTATGTTATAGTATAGTTTTTAGTATAGTGTAAGTTTAGTATAAGGTGTTGGGTTTTTTTTAGAAGTAATGACTGGATTGAAGTAAAACATCTTTCATCAGTTAGTGCAAAATAGTGACTAAGAGACTGCCCTTGAACTGGGAAGTCAATCAATAAATCTCACTTCACAGGATTGCTGTATGGATAAAATAATATCCTCCTTTCCACCTATGCAGTATGCACCATTTTGACTTATAAAAGAAAGCTGAGAAACATAAGAAACAAGTAAACAAAAGTAACAAAATACAGGGGAGTTATGAACTCAGCACTGTTAGTTATAAAGAAATGTTGGAACAATTAGACCTGAAGTAACATACATTATTTTCTGCCATTTCTTGCAGGCATCCCCAGCTGCATTAGCAAAAAGTGTTTTGGCTGAAGTTCCAAATCAAGTGGTCGACTATTATAATGGGAAAGCAATTAAACCAAAATGTATGTCAGAATATGAGTCTTCCAGGACACTAGCTCCATGAACTTTCCTACATACTTGACAGAGTCCAGATGAACTACTATTTACAACTATTGTACTTAAAATGAAAATAGCACGTTTTTGTGGTTTTTACTTAAATTTCCACTCCCTTTCATTTTTGCATGTGTAGCCTAAAGGCTTACAAGTAAAGATTAAGCTACTGTATGTTGAAGACTTTTTATGGAAAAAAACAAAAACAAAATTATTACTCTTTACAGCATGTCATCTTGAAATGAAAAGTTATCTGTATCTGTTTTTTTATACTGGTTTGTTGAAAATTTGCTAAATTTCTTATTATCTTTACACTGTAAAGCATTTTGAAACATTTCCTGGAAGTTGATAGCCAAAATATATTTGGGTTTATCTGCTATTAAAATGAAAAGTTTTTTTCCAAGTGGCAGATGCATGGATTATATTTGCATGTTCCAAAATAAAAACAACTCAGTTTTGCAGTTGTTGTGTGTATTTCTTGCTACAAAGCTGTTTGTTCAGATGTTTTTATAAAGAATTCCATTTTCAGATTGTGACAATTCCTATTATCAAAACCTCCTTAAACTATTTCAGGAAATTATACTTCAAACATGAATCTAAGATATATATATAACAAGCATTAGTAAAACATACCGGCTAATTTCCCAGAAACCTTAAATCAAGCAATCAAGCAAATGTCCCAAAGGTGCTTTTTTTCAAAAAGCAACTAGATTTTCTTTTCTTTGAAAATGTTTCACTACTCATTCAAAAAGCTTCTTCAGCTTTGACTGGATTTTCAAAAAGCAACTAGATAATGTCCTATCCCTCCATCCTCTGTAGAGAGAGAGTTGTTCAATTTTGAATAGATGGCTTCTTTGACCCCTCTTTCAAACCAGCGATCCTCCCTGTCCAAAATGTGGACTTTGCTGTCTTCAAAAGAGTGGCATTTGTTTGGACTGCTGAATCTAGTCCTGATGAATTTGTTCTCCTATGTTGTGTGATGTCTTTATGCAGTGGTTGTTTTGTTTCCCCAATCTATAGATCTGCACATGGCTCATGTACTCCATGAGAACTCCATGTACCACATTGCTCAGTTTGTGTCTGGGTGTTTTATCCTTGGAGTGGAGAAGCCCTTCTGCATTAATGTATTCTTGGGTCTGAAGCACATATGTTGTGGTGGCTGAAGAGCCTCCTGAGCTTTTCTGATATTCCTGTAACATATGGAATGACAACATTGCTTCATTTATTGTTCGCTTCGTCATCTTATGGAGGAGTTCCTGAAACTCCTTTTTTGAGATTTGATGAAGGCCCACTTGGGATAGCCACATGTTCTGAGTGCTTCCTTGATGTTTTTAATTCTTTTTCTTTCCCATCTTCGCTGGTAGGTACGCCTTCAGCTTGGTGGTGTAGGATTCTGATTTCTTACTGAGCCATCTTTGGTTTAACAAAATGCATGAATCCAACTTTTTTTTAATAAAAGTTTTTTATTTTTTACACATATTTTCAAGTGAGCAATGTGATTCCAGGTTACAACATTCATACATAGTCATAGTTACATTTCCAACTTTCTTATCTAATTTCATATCAAATCATTATCTATTACACTGATCTTTGAATAAGTTCTCACTTCATATTTTCAATTCATTAATCCAATGTCAAGAGCATTTCATCCTCACATATATTTTCCACTCTTTATCCCCCATTATTTTCATTTCCAGCTTACCACCTATTTTATTTTACATTATCTTCATTAACTTTCTCAAAGCTAATGTATAATAAACAAACAAAAAAATAAAAATAAAATAGAACTAATATATTCAGGATCCACATGGTATTTTCCCCAATCTACAGTAAATCTTATATTTATTCCGGAGATATTCATATAACTATTTAATATTTCCTCTTCGTTTCCATTTAACCAAATTTTACCTATGAAATTTTATTAAATTTTCATTCCCCTCCTTTTTAATCATAATATAATAATCTCATTACAAATACTTTACAATATAATCCTTGTTGGTTTACCATATTCTCTGTTTTCTAATATCTTTTATATAATCAAGTACATTTTCTATTTCATGTCTAATATGTATACAATAAAAAGAGGGGAAATATAAATGGAAAATGTAATTGATTATTTAAATGATATTAGAAAAACAAAGATTATGGTAAACTAGAAATAATTATGTTATAAAATATTTGTAATGAGATTGCAATGTTATGTCCAAAAAATGAGGAATGAAAATTAAATATAATTTCATAGGTTAAATTTGGTTAAATGGAAACAAAAAGGAAACTCAATTTTCTCCCCCCCCCTCTTTTTATTGTATACATATTAGACATGAA